TGAGAGAAAGCATGCACACATGAAAATTTAAAACAATGATTAGTAGAAGAGGATAAAAATTATTACAATGCACAATGCATAAGGGGGGAACATACTAACAAAGAGAGAAGAGAAGGAATTATCACCACAAATGTTGTAGAACTACGAATTTATATAATGTGTTTTTGTACTCACTCATTCTGAATTCTAGTTTGGGATGAATTAACATCAGAAGGAATTGGAAACTTTGATAGAAATGGAAGCACCAATAGTTCTCCAATTGAACAGCGTTGGTTGTTTCTCTTGTTCTTTTCACTTTTTTTACGCTTTGATGACACTGACGAGCCATTTGCAGAAGTCCCCAATTGAGGTCCCTGTAGGCATTAAAACACAAGCTGAAAAATACGCTCTTCAAAATATGTGCCTGGAAATATTTCATCAAGGACCACAAAGGAGCAACCTTTGACACTGAAATAACACCAATTAAATTAATAGCACTTTTTCTGGCTGTAAATAGATCTTCCCTCCAACCAGAGATTTCTTCCTGTATAAAAACAAGAGGTGATGTAATTTGTAAAGGTAATTGAAAAGGTGAATGAATCACGTATACGATCACTATAAGCTTCCCATACAATGTCAGATGGAAGATTTTTTCGTATGTACTCATCTGCATCTTCTTCCCACTCTGAGATATCCTACTTGAAAACATTGCCAGATAGGGAATTAGTTAGTTTAACTTCTAGCTTAAATAATTTATATATATATATATATATATATATATGTTTCCTTTTCTTTTCTTTTTTTCATACTGAAAGTTTACCTTTTCATTCATTACCAATGCTTGAAAGATTGCAGAGTCCAACAGATATGAAAAATGTGGGGATACTAATCTCCATCCCTGATTTACAATTTAAAAAGAGTACATTAAAGAAAGAACAAATGGAACTTGAGGAATATCCAAAGGTCCACTTCCTAACCAAGACATTTGGCAGAATTTCCTTGATCTTTATTCACTAAAATATCCCATGGGGGAATAAAGCGTCTAGGGTAATATTCCATAGTAAAATTTACAAATTAGGAAACTTACTGGCCCTGTTTCAAGAACATGTGAAATCATATCAAAAGCTAATGAAAGAATCCTCTCAGATAAAAAATCCAGCCTCTGCATACAGAATAGTACTTTTTTAGTTCTAAAATGACAAGAAAATCAGCGAAATGGTGAGTATTAGGGGTATTAAAATTCAGTAAGCGCGAAACTCTAAGTTTAGAATCACACATAATAAAACATCAACCTCGATAAAATAAAACAATAAACTAAAAATGGATGATAAGAAAGATAAAAGTCAGAAAGCCAGAATAAGAAAGTCAAAAAACTTGGATAACAGACTTAGCAGTGAGAATCTGGAACACCACAAGCGTCGCTACTGTGCATGCTGACTGTGAAACGATGAATAACTAACAAATTCAAATACAAAACTTACACCAACATCTTTGCTATATTTGACTATGTTCAAAACACATTTTATCATGTCTGGCATCAACCTGAAAAAATAAAGGAACGTAAAACATAAAGACCAACCACAACAACTTTAATCTAATCAAATTCAATTCAACATTGCTTTATTACTTATCAGAATGCTTCCGATGTCGAGTAATGAGAGTGCAGAAAATGAGCAAACTTCTTTTCCCAGTCTTCAACCTCATCAGGTACCCATTTTGTGGAGTAACCAAGCAATCAAAACTCAAAGATCCAAGAATGGCAATTAGATCATGACAAAATGAAGGTAGTAGAGGCACTAAAGCAGATGGCATATGCGACCTCACCTATGAAAATAGCAATGCTTCAAAAAACAATAAAAAAGTGGAGGGGGGATGAAAGTACTGAGCAAGATAAATTTTTATGAATGCCCCCTTATCATAAAGAAGATTTTTTACTTACAGTAAAATATATGCATTTGCAGACAACCAGAAGGACATTCTCTGTTTCCGCATTTGTTGTGCCATGAGTACCCAAAGCCTATTTGATACAATATAGAATCCATTATTGTAAGCTCATAAAATACTAGAAAGGGGGTTAAGGAAATGAGGGTAAGGAAGGGTAAAGACAACAACCTTTTCAACAAATTGATGGAATACAGTTAACAAGGGCACAAGAATGTCCTTTGCAATTAGCTCTAGCTGTGGCGGTATTGGCTCCTTGGCAACTTTAGGGTTCAAAAAATACTGCCAGAAAAAGTTTGGGTATAAACTACTTAACCAAGTTAGTTTCCCTTAGGGATATAACATATATTATCATCCCAACACAAGCAAATGTAAGCCAGTGAAACCGAAAAATAGGAGAAATAGAAATAAAATCTGTAGACAACCAGATAAATGTAACTATATGATACCAGGGTACGAAGTTAGCACAGAGATATCAGCAACACGTTTTCACATCAAGCAAAAAGATATTAACTATGTTGAATTATGCATGGGAAGGTACCAAGTACCTGAAAAGGTCTAAGGAGTGTCTGAAGAATCGTAAGGGCATTAATGGTGTTCCATTGGGAGTTTGCACCATTGTTAATTAGCTTACTATTTTGAACGGCTGACCGCAGATCAGGTACTAATTCTGGCCACGAATTCTGCTTAACAAACTCAGCAACAACAATGATCCGGAACTGCGCGCCAATAAATTAAAGCAAAGCTTATATCACACGCTCGGTACTAAAAATTAAGCTGTTGCACTTTGAAAAATGCATACCACTTCAACCAAAATTTTGACAACTGATTGTTCGGACTGCAGCAAAGCTCGCAAGAGCTGGTCCTTGAACTCCTTGCTGACGTTTGATTTTGAATTCGGATTATCACAGTCGACATTTCGCCTAGTGAAGTTTTTCAGGTATGCAGCCGCAGCAACTTTCTGACCTTGATCTTGACCTCCTGATGTTGAGGTAGCACACAAATTGACATGAATTTTTCGAAGTAGTTCGATAACATTTTACATAGAAAAACATCAAAGAAACTATATGGAGCATCAGAAACTATAAACTACACAAAATCAGCTTAGAATCATGATTTGTAAGCTTAATTACCGGTGGAGATGGAGAGGAGATAGTAAGGGAATTGGGGGAGCTGAGAGAGGCGATCGAGAGCTTCGGTCGCTGTGCGGACGGCGCTGCAATCGTGGCTGAGAGTCTCGTTCAGCAGCTGAGCGATTTGAGCTGCGACCTCCATAGCTAGTTTCTTTGTGGCAGAAACCCTAATTTCAACGAGCTCAGCTGCGAAAAAAGAATGAGGGAGTGACAGCGAAAGTCATTGCGCGGGAAAGGAAATAAACATCATTATATTCACGAAAATGTAAATTAATTACCGAAAAATGAAAGGCGTGAACTAAAAATTAATGAACAACTTATTTCGGTCCATAATTTCAAATTAAATGTTGAAAACATATGGAGATGCGGGGTATCGAACCCCGTACCTCTCGCATGCAAAGCGAGCGCTCTACCATGTGAGCTACATCCCCATTGGTAAGTCTCTGAATATTAGTATATTTATATTAAGAAGTAAGAAATAATAAAAAACGGCGATAAGTCAGCTTTAGCTACTATAGTTCGTTAGTCGCCATCAGAGGCGGATCTATTAAGGCGCAAGGAGGTGCAGTTGCACCTCCCTTCGCCAGAAAAACCATTGTAGGTGCTTCAAATTGCCCCTTTGCTCAACTGGTGTACAGATTACCTTATTTCCATTTTCAACATTTAAGTAAATGTCTTTGTCTTTGTCCTTTTACTTTTATTTATTTTTATATTACTCCATTTACTTAAGTTTACAATGTAAATAAGGAAGTACCCCCCATTTGGATTCAAATAAAAATACTAGAAAATCAAATTCCCACCAAATCAAAATATGAAAATTCGGTTTTAGTGCAAAATACGATTTAAGCTAAAAATGATGGCTCATTAAGTCAATATATACTTCATACTAAAATCCCATAAATTCAAGTTTTCTTATTTGATGTATAAGGAATAAAAGCCGCCAAAAATTATCTTGAGAAAATGATTATTCCGAAAAACTATTTTCATACTTAGTCAATATTGCACCTCCGCTCAAAAATTTCTGGGTCCGCCAGTGGTCGCCATAGTTATAATTTTATACCACTAGTTTTAATTCCGAGCAATTTAAAACACATTACAAATTTAGTCAATTTTCTTCCGATTTCATTACAATTTAAGCATAATACCTTTAAATTACTCAAATTTAAAACTACAAGAATAAAATCGACAAAATTAAAAAAAGGGAGGTGATTTTTCTACTCCCTTTTTTTCCACTTACACTCCATTTGCTTTTTAATATTTTTTAATTAATATTGTTCTTTTTTATTCTTCTTTTTCCTATTCTACCCTTACCCTACATTAAGGTATTGATAACTGAAATTAAGAAAATTTAACAAAAAATAAAACAAAAAACAAAAAACAAAAATCTGAAAAATGGATAGAAATGTGAAAAAAAAATTTGGGCTTACATATAAATATGGTAGAAGAACCAAAGAATGCTACTAACCAAACTGTCATTAGGAGCTTAGATATGCAGAGAGCAAGGTATGTATAATAGTCTCATATTTTTATTCTTTCATAATATTAGTAAGTGATTATACATGTCTATTAAAAAGAATTGTAGAGTAAGTGTAGAATAGGAAAGAGAAAGAATAAAAAAGAACGAAAGTGATTAAAAAGTATTAAAAAATAAAAGAGAATGTAAGTTGAGAAAAAGGGAATAGGAAAATTACCTCCCTAAAATAATAAAGGCAATTGATAGAGCACGGGGAAAAGGATAGCCATGTGTTCATGTGTTTCGAAACCCAGAAAACAAATGGCCACGTTCACTTCATGCAGAAGACACGTGGCAGAAGCCCAAGACCAATGATATGGAGCCAAGCCAACTGCCGCAACTCCCTAGCCACGTTCTCTGCATGCAACAGGCCCACGCATTCTTTATATACTTTGTCTATATATGCTTACCTCACCCCCACAGAGAAGAAAAAAAAATCCCTTACAAACGAAGTGCTGCGAAAATGCCTGGCCTAACCATCGGAGACACACTCCCAAACGTTGAAGCTGAGAGCACCCATGGAAAGATCAAGCTTCACGACTACATCGGTGATAGCTGGGCCATTATTTTCTCTCACCCGGGTACGTATAATTAGCGCTAATACCATAATTAATGATTTATTTTAGTTTAATTATGTGCTAATTAATTTGCTTGCATGTAACATATGTGTAGGCGATTTTACGCCGGTGTGCACGACTGAGCTCGGGAAGATGGCCGAATACGCTATGCAATTTCAAGAGAGAGGGGTGAAGCTTGTGGGTTTGTCCTGCGATGACGTCCAGTCACACCTTGAGTATATCAAGGACATCGAAGCCTTCAGCACCGTGAGTTTCCAATTGATTGTTCGATTTTACTTGACCGATTGATAAATGTTCAATTGTTAGGGTTTTGACATTTCTTCTGGTTTTTCATGGGCTGCATGCAGTGCGGGCGGAAAGTGGAGTTTCCGATTCTGGCAGATCCGACCCGAGAGATCATCAAGCAACTTAACATGGTGGACCCTGACATGAAGGACTCATCAGGAAACCCGGTTCCGTCTCGTGCCCTTCATATTGTGGGCCCTGACAAGAGGGTAGGGTGTGACCCAGTTGATTAATTTTGTGCAAATTAGCATATTTTGAGGTTAGTTGCCTAAGAAATTTGTTGTTTATTATAGGTGAAGTTGAGCTTTCTGTACCCCGCGACCACAGGGCGGAACATGGACGAGGTGCTGAGGGGGCTGGAGTCGATGCAGATGGCGAGCAAGAAGAAGATCGCAACCCCGGCGAACTGGAAGCCAGGCGAGCCGGTGGTCATATCTCCTTCTGTGTCTCAGGAGGAGGCTAAAAAAATGTTCCCTCAGGGCTACAAGACCATGGACCTGCCATCCAAGAAGGAGTACCTGCGTTTTACTACTGTTTGATTTTAATTATGAACCCTAATCTAAAAAGTCTCAACAAGTAATATATGTATGTGTCTTTTGTGTTTTGTGGCTAGTAGTAGCGTCTAAATATGTAGTGCCTATGTGTGCCAAATCTATGTGATATATATAGGCTTTTTATCACAAATGGTCCTTCAAATTTACAAAATTATCACGAATCGTCCTTCATAATTTTTGTGACTCTAATAGTTCTTCAGGTTATCATCTATCCTTCAAAATGGTCCTTCAAGTTATTTTTCCTTCAAGTTATTTTCCGTCAAAACTGACGTTAAAAAAATCACATCCCATTCGACCAAACCGAACCCTCAAAACTCTTACCCTCCATTTCCTCTGGGTCCTTCCATTTTGGTGGCTCTGTAGTATATAACCAATCTAGAAAAGTAAAATTATAAAGAAATTGAAACAATCCAAGCTCAAGCAAAAAGTTATACAACAATTACAGACGATGCATGAAATCCCATATGTGCATGAGAGAGAGAGAGAGAGAGAGAGAGATTACAGTGGCGCTAGGTACACCATGAAGGCCACGATGTTACCCGTGAAAATGAAAAACAGAGGAAGAGAGAGAGAGAGAGAGAGAGAGAGAGAGAATTTGGAATTGAAAACCAAGAGAAAGTTGAAGAAAAAGGAACCCAATTATTAATACAGAGGAGGGGGGTGGTGGTGGGGTGGGGTGGGGGTGTTGTTGGTTAGAGGAGGTAGAAGAACTAAGTAGCTAGGGTACCTAGAATGCCAAAAACAGAGGCCAAGAGGAAAGCATCAGGGGCTGCCATTCTGGTGGTGAAGCTCTTTTAACTAAGGAATGTGTGAGGATTTGAGGGCACTCCAAAGAATCAAAGAGCTTGCTCTAATTGTTGCATTGTGTGCCTTTATACAACTGAGAAATTTTTACGCATTGAAATAAGAAATATTTTCCTGTTACATTCAACAAAAGCGGGGATAGCTCAGTTGGGAGAGCGTCAGACTGAAGATCTGAAGGTCAGGTGTTCGATCCACCTTCACCGCATTTTAAGTGCTCTTTTTTATTTATTTTTACTTTAGACCTGAAAGTGCATTCACTATGATATGGTACTCTTTTATTTATTTTAGACCCGAAACTGCATTCGTTCAAGGATGAAAATATCAACTGTCCATATAGCATCTGAGTCCAAAATTTATGTATATTTTGTGAATCTATCGATATACTTTCAGAATCGACAAAGAACACATATTAATGTGGCGCAATGATGAAAATAAATCAAAGAGTCACCATAAAAGATGAGAGAAATCTCAAAGGTTTATTGAATAAAATATGAAAAGTTAAACCTAGGCACCAAGTCCTAGGTATAAGAAACCCTAAATACTATCTCAGCCTTAGCATAGTTGGAATATCTAAAAACATGGAATTTTGAAGTAAAATTTGCATGAAAAGCATGAAAATAAATTTTATAGTAGAATGGATTTTTATGTTGGTATGATATTAGAAAGGATAAACTATGCAATTACAATTTAGATAAGTGCAAAGGCATTTAACAAGGTCGTCATGATTTTCCATGACAGCTGTCACCCGTAATTTATAAGAGATTGTCGGATTTGTCTCCATCATTATTTTGGAGTTGTCATCTCTGATTTGCGAGGGCTGCTTGGGGTTTGTGCGAGGAAAAATTAAAAAAGGGACACGTGCCCCTACCAAAATTGAAAACGAGGCGACCAAAATTGCATTTGGTCGCGAATTCATTGAACAGTGTCAAAATATTTTGGTCACTCTTCGAAAAGCTTTTATCGCCAATCAGTTGGTTGAAGTCTTCCTATGCATAAATCTCACAAAAATTTTGGTGACGGAATTACAAAATGTCCTCGCTAATAACACTATGGGGCGACCAAAGTTACGTTGGTTGCCAAAACTTTGTTCGAAGAAAAGGTTTTTTCTTGTAGTGAGTGCGCATTTTACATAAATGAAGAGTTCCTATGAGGTTCCAACAATGAGGAGCACCCATCTAGCCATACCAAGTCATTGCAACCTTTAATTTGTGTGACAACTAGATTATTATTTGGTTCATGGATCTAAAGTTAAGTGCCATTATTTGGGTTTTTTTGGCACAATCTTTGCATTATTTTGGGGTTTATTTTTGTATTGGTCCAATTGCTGGGATCTTCAATTACTTTGAAAATTGAAGAAAAATTGATGGGTAATGTATCGAGAAATTAGTGCATTTTTGTTCACCACTTTAACTCAAGGTGTACCCTCATCGTCTTACTTAACACTTAACATGTGTCTATGAGCATAACCATGATTGCACACATGCAAAGCAAAGAGTTAATTATGGTTATACTTATGTACACATGTCAAATGTTGAGCAAAAATATTTTCTTAAAAAAATATAGAGAATATCGGAAATATATGGCCGAAGAAATAGGTTTATCCCGATATATCGGCTGATATTTTCATCTTGCATTCATCAGTATATGTTACTCTTTTTTTATTTTTACTTTAGACCTAAACTTGGGATATTTGATTCTTTTTGTAATTTTAGTCATCAATTGCGGGGATAGCTCAGTTGGGAGAGCGTCAGACTGAAGATCTGAAGGTCAGGTGTTCGATCCACCTTCACCGCACTCTTTCTCCATTTTATTTAATTTCCTTTTTTTGACCAGAACCTACAAGCTTTTTTATATGCTGCTGGACCTGTGCTTTGCCTCCTCAATAACTCACCATCGATCTAAGAACAAACCCTAATTGAGAATCCCAACGCTGATACATAATTCACTGCTGCTACTTGGTTTCGTTCACTCTTTTTCAACTTGTGGATCCCATAACAGCTGTCTAAAGCATCAAAAGCTGTCCTAATTTATGGAGCAAATCCCGGCTACCTTTTTCAATCTGTGTACACACTAGCTCTTCATTTCTTTCACTCATACAAAACATCCAATGCCAATTGCCACAGTAACTTATTTTCAAATATTCACACAAAAAATGTGGAGCCACTCTCAGTCAAAACCACTCATCAGTGTCATCACCCTCCTCAACCTCCTCCTCCCCGCCCTAACCCTCTCCCCGTGCCGCACCACCTGTGGCCCCATCCCCGTAAACTATCCCTTCGGCCTCGACGACGGCTGCGGAGCGCCGCAGTTCCGTGGCATGCTCAACTGCTCCACCGACCTCTTCTTCACCACCCCATCCGGCAACTACAAAGTCCAGTCTATCGACTACGACAAGAAAAACCTCCTCGTTTACGACCCCGCCATGTCAACCTGCTCCATCCTCCAACCCCACCACGACTTCCTCTTGACCCCTATCCAGTCCGCCATAATCCCACCGACCTCGGACACCGTCTTCGCCCTCCTCAACTGCTCCGTCGACTCCCCTGTCCTCAACCACTACAAGTCCCTCTGCTTCAACTTCTCCGGCCACTCCTGCGACGAGCTTTACAACTCATGCAACGCGTTTCGGCTTTTTCGGTTGGGCATGGGGTTAAGCAACGGGACTAATAGTACTGGTAGTACTGATTTTGTTCCGCCGTGCTGTTTTACGGGGTATGATACTGTGAAGTTCATGAGCATGAATATTTTGGACTGTACGCATTATACTAGCGTGACTAATACGGATCGGTTGAGAGGTTTGGGACCGTTGGATTGGGTTTATGGGATTAAGTTGAGCTTTGCGGTTCCGGATACTGGGTGTGAGAGATGTGCTCAGTCAGGTGGGACTTGTGGGTTTGATACTGAGACTCAAGTGTCTCTCTGCCTCTGCTCTACTTTCACCAATTCTACTAGACAATGTGGTAAGAAAATCAAATTTATTTATTTATTTATTTTATTTTATATAAGCGATACTAGAGAGAGGGTTTTCTCACACACAATACTAAAGTAATATGGAGATTCCAACCTAATACCACTATGATTATAACTATCTCAGGTCATTTTTGTTTCATTAATTGCTTCAATTATACTTGTTTCTTTTGGTGCATAACTTCAAATTGGGTTCATGTTTTTTTTTAATTTTCAGCCGCAGGCAGTGATACGGCAGAAGGACGAGATTGTGCTCCCTGGATACTCTTTCAAGCATTCTTAGTGATTATGGGGGCATTGTTAATCTGTTTGCATGATTTTAATCTTTCTTTTATTTGAGATTATTCTACTTCTAGGAGCATTTTTGTCTTTTCATTTGCAAGATGCTGATCATGACCCTTTTGTAGTTTGTCGTTGACAGTGTAAGTAAAGCACTGATTGCGTTTTATTGACACGACCGGCTGGAAGCAAAAGCTACATTTGCAGTGTACAATATTGCACCATCTCCATCAAATCTCTAAATTTTGGTTCTGTGCAAGCAAACTCGTCTCATTTTTCTAACCAGCTCTAATTTTTATAATTTTTTTTTTCACATTTAACGAACCAAATACAAGAGATAGGACCTCATTTTATAGTGAAGGCCATCTCTAAGACACTTAAATGAGGTCCTATCTCTTAATCGTTGAATTAAGTTACACATATTTAGTCATATATCCATTTTTAGCACTAATGATATAGATAAACCCTATATTCTTTAATTTATATATAAAAAAAATCCCAAAAAATGACATTTGGACCTATTTAATTTAATATTATTAAATTACTTTAATGCCCTATTGAGTGTGAGTTTTTTTTTATAAGATTTTGGGGTTGGACTTATTTTAAGAAATTGATGACAATTTTGTAATTTACATGGAGTTAAAAGTCTCTTTGTTATGTTGTAAATGGGCTTTGGATGTGTTTCTAAAGTCCATTTCATATAGGGTTTTCTATCATTTGAGCCCCTATATTGGGTATAATAGTAAATCTTCCATGAAATTAACCAAATTGATATAACAACTTACTAATTTGATTCAACGGCTAAAAAATAGGGCCTCATTTGAAGACCTTAAATAAGGCCCTCACTATAGAATTCTTGCTATCTATATTGCAAACCGTTCAGTCCATTAGGTAAGGGGGCCCAACAAGAACATGATGCTCGGTTTCACAGGCCCACGAACTAAATCTATAATTCAAAAGATGCTCTTCCTGAAGGAGTTTCTAAAGGCACGCATCAATCTGGTGCACCAACCTTCAAAGGAAATTTTTGAAACTACTTCCAAGTTTGTTCCTGAGGAATAACCAAAAATAATAAGAACAAGAAAAGAAAAAATTTAAGTAGTCAAACTAATTTTTATTGTCAATTCACCCCCTACCATCTAAATCAACAACATGTCATCCAATAGTTCATCAAATCATTAAAAAAAATTAAAGAAAAAGAGAACCGAAAAAAAATCCTAAGAGACCCAACAGACCCATAACTTCCCCAGCTATTTTCTTCTCCTCCCATTCTCCCACGACCACCACCCTTCACTCCTAGACCAATCCCCCACCCCCTACACCCCTCCCCAGGGACAGTCCTATGTCCATACTAACATAGGCTATAGCTCGAGCGACGTGATATTTTATGGTTCAATATTAATATTCAGCCCACCAAAACATACCTCCATACACTCCATCCCAGTGATCCCACCCAAAGAAAATCCTTTTTTCTTTAGTTAACTAATCCCACAAGTGTGATAGTAAGTAAAATAAAAACTAACCCTATATTAATATTTATTACTCAGCCTTTTTCAGAAAACACACATTCCTAGAGTCCGTACTTTACTTTTTTCTTTTTCTTTTTTATATAAAAAAACTTTACCTTTTTTGGTGTACATAAAACGTCAATTCTTTTTTTTTTTCCTTATAAATTTTGGCTACTTCTTTTCATTTTTATTTCTTCTTCTTTTCTAATGGATAATAAATGCTTTCAATTCTTTTCTTTTTATGGAGAAGTTTATCATGTAATTGCTAATTGACCTTAAAATTCATACTTCAATGAAATTTACTCATACCGTCAAGTTTTCGAGGTTTGTATATAAGATAAATTTAGCCCACCTTATTTTTAAATCATAGGTCTGTCCCTGCCCTCCCTCCCCCCCCGCATACCCACCACCACCACCACCAATGTGACCACCACCCTCCACCCTCTGACCAATCCTCCAGATCAATCCCCCACCCCACAGATCCCTCCCCCATCCTTTTTTTACCCCTCTCGTAATCAGTGGCGGACCTAGACTTTCGTTCATCTGGGTGCTTAAAAAAAAATCCAACCAATATATAGCCAAACAAAAATTATTTAGGCTTAAAGTGAACTTGGTGGCTAAGTTCTCCACAAAATTACAAAATGAGTGAACTTTGTGGGATCTCTATTCTTCTTTTATGGCTTAAAGTGTATGTATTGGATGGGCCATGTGGGGGCTCCATCTAAGAGCACTTCCACCCACAAGGGCTAAGTCTAAGGCAAGGGCAAGCAAGGGCTGCAACTATTTACATGAATAGTGTCAGCCTTTGCATTTGTGGTTCCATCCATGAGGGCAGAGTCTAAGGCAAGTCAAGAGCAAGCAAAAAAAAAATATATGCAACAAAATATAAAATTGTTATGTATTTATAGGGAAAGTGAATAAAATTGTTATGTATTTATAGGGAAAACATCCATAATTTTTTGGTATTTTTTTTTATAAAAAATTGAATTTTTTATAATTTTTTTGAATTTTTTTTTGCTCACTGACGTCAGCATAACATCAGCGCTGACGTCAGTGCCCTCGGGCTGAAGCCCAGGCAAAATCTGCCCTTGGGCTTGCCCGGGCTGGTGGGACCCATGGCTTGCCCTGGCTGCAAGTGGTGCGCTGGAGCTGCATTGGGCTTGCCAGGGGGGCCTTTTGCCCAGTTTGATAGCAGCGCTGGAGCTGCTCTAAGAATGACCTAAAAAAAATTAAAAAATTTGAGTTTCGGTGGGATTATACAGCTGCAACTTTTTTGTAAGTGTGGGCTGACCACAGTAGTCCTTCATTGGATCCACCAATGCTCGTAATCATACAACACAAAAAAATCTCTCTCTTTCTCTCTCTCAAAAAATAGTTCGTGTACTTAATTTTCCAACAAAAAAGTTGAGGGTGCAAATTGAAAGTACTGTACAAGTTTAGGGAGTAAATCGACAATTAACCCTAATAATGAATGACTCTCAAAATTGTTCTTCATGGGATAATTAACAACTTATATAGTGTGCTTTACAGAATTTGTTGATGGTTTATTATTGTTCTTTGTTTCTACCGGGCTTTTATCCCTCCTCTTTGCCAAAAAAGTAAATAAATAAAAATAAAAATTCCAAACGCATTGCCTTCAGCAAGTCCAGTGTATAATTGGACATTTTCCAATGAAGTTTTCCTCACATTTCATGAGTCTTAATCATCCTAGAGACAACAATCAGCACGTAATTATAAAACTGCTATCCTAATTACAAACCCCATCATGAGCATTCTATTATAATTGTAAATGTCCCACTTCAACCCGCTCCACTAATCCACTTTTCTCTTTTAATCATCAATTTTCATGCACGTTATCGATGTTTGAATTCAAATTCCCACTCCTTGAAACTCTTTTTCTTTAATCACCATTTCGGCAACGGATGCATCATTGCATTGGCATCATTCTTACACTTTTTTTATGTTAAAAACAATCCTCAAGATTCTTTTTCAATGCGCATTATTTCAATATTGGCATAAACTAATTAGGGTATTCAAATTCGGGTTTAATTAGATATTTATTGAACTTGAGTTCAGTTCAAGCTTGGGCTATGCTTACTTAGGGTATCCTTAAGCTTAATTTGTATATTCTCCTCTTTTTATTTTTATTTTACAAGTGATAGTTTGTATATTCTCCTCTTTTTATTTTTATTTTACAAGTGATAGTCTAAACTATAGGGGAGGGAGGTTTCACACACACACACACACACACACACACACACACACACACAAAACTAAGATGCCATGTGAATTTCGACCCAAAAAAGAAAGAAGAGATGTCATGGTAATTTGAATATGAGACCTCTAATGTGCAAATCAAAACTTTTTTCCACTGGACTAGACCCCGTTGGCTTGTAAATACTTTAACTTTATAAGATATCTCGTGATATAATTTGAACTTCTCATGAATTTTATGAAACTTAAACTTAGGGGTGGGCACGGTACGGTATTAAGCTCGTACTGCTACCGATACCCGAAATTTAAATCGGTATGGTACGGTATGAGATTATGGTTTGCCAAAACTGGTACCGTACCATACCGTGCTAAATTGGTATCGGTATCATTTCGATAAGTGATGCCTAAGTTACAAATTCAAAGATTCAACATATTCAATATCCAAATCCTAATCAACATACTCAATATCCATCAACATATTCAATATCCAAATCAACCAAATCAATATTTATCTATTAACAAATTCATCAAACGCAAATAGTTAAAACTCATGCCTTATGGCTAACAAACCAAAATAGTTAAAATTATGTCTTATGACTTACAAAAATACAGACACAATCCAAACATAAATGACAAAAACATAAAGTTATACTATTCGGTACGGGACGGTATTGACCGGTACTAAAATCTTGATACCGCTACCATACCATATTCTATTGGTACGGTACGGTACGGTACTGAATATCTCCCAATACCAAATGAAACGGTATGAAATCGGTATGGTACGGTGCGGTTAGAGTACGGTTTCGGTATTTCGGTTTAAGATGCCCACCCCTACTTAAACTTGACTTATATGTTTAAAAAGCTTAACGAGTTTGGCTTATTTCCTTAGAATAAAGCTCAAACAAACTGAATATGTACAAACTTGAGTTGCATTTGAGACAAGTAACTTGAATTGTTCGGTTCCTTTCTTCTTCGATATGTTTGGGCCTGCGTGCCCACGTGGTTTCTATTTGTAATTTCCCTTTTTTGTATATAAAAAAAAAAAACTCTATTTTTTCTATATTATAACATAGTTAAAATTATCGTTGTGTAATTAAACACTATCTCATTCACTTTTTATGTTTTATTTCTTCTTTTGATGTTGTATAAATCTTTCTAGAGTTACTGATAATTTTCCTTGCCTTTATTATCATTTGGACCTAGCGAATTGAACCTTTGAGTCATGAGTTTGTTAATTTTGAGTTAGGGATAGAATGATCAATTTAGTTACTAAGCCATAAGATATGTCCACGAGTTTAACACAAAACATGGTAATGTGATTATAAATTATAAATATTTAGTCATATATCCATTCTTAGTACTAAAACTATAAATAAACTCTAACCTATTTAATTTCTATAAACAAACCTAAAAAAAACCCAAAAAATGACAACTGGCCCTATTGAATTTAATTTTGATTATTAAATTACTTTAATATCATATTGAGTGTTTTGGGCTTTTTTTATGAGGTTTTTGGGTTGAGCTTGTTTTAAAAAATCAATGGCAGTTTTGTAATTTAAAATAAGTTAAAAGGTTTTTTTTAATATATTATAAATGAGCTTTTAGTGTGTTTCTAAAATTCATTTCATATAGGGTTTTCTTATAATTTAGGCTCCTATATTGTGTATAATAGTGAATCTCCCTATAAATTAAGCAAGTTGGGTTATGATATGACCCAAAACGACATCACTCCAGATGGCGTTGTATACAATTTCAATGTACATGTGGGGTCAATTTAAAAATACAAAGAGTGCAGGAGCGTCCCCGCTAACAATTCAAGTTGAAAAAACGGGCGGGCCTGTTATCACTGAGCTATACCATTCAAACTTCCCAACAGTCTGACACTTTCCACTCAAATCTCAACGCACCCCTCTCATTCCCCACAGCCAAAGAAAACCACAATTTCACCTAAAACGTCATCGTTTTCTTCTTCTTCTTCCTCGCATGGATTGAATCATGGATTCAAAACTCTGTTTCTAATTCGGGAACAAAAGCAACAGCCTATTTGTTTTACTCAACCTCCGAGCTCACCATGTCGAAAGAGAGCTCAACTGTTCGATTCCCGCCTCGAAACGTTTCGAAGAACTCACAATCTGAACCGAACGAGAACGAGTTCGAAGCCTCGTCGAACCAAATCCATTTTCCTCCTCCTAGAACACCTCTAAACAGCATAGCAGATCCAGCTCAGCTGCAAAAGGAGCTTCATGAACTCGATTTCGATTCACAACCGAAGTTTGAAGCAATTCGATCTGGTCGGTATTCTTTATCGGATAGAAAACTTGAAGCCCCGGACAGAGCTGGAAATGGCGGTCTCAGCTATGGAACTCCTAGGGTTTCAGGTCGCGGAGGGAAGGCGCACTCGGAGCCAAACTCAGCGCAAAGCACTCCGGCGAGGAACGGCTCGAGAGCTTCGATTGGTGGAGCAGTTTGTACAGGAAGCAAAGCTCCACAGTACAATGGAGGCAGAGCAGGGAGTTGTTCTAGAATCTCCCGGGAGATTTCGGTGGTGAATGCAGAGGTTTTAACTCAGGTTCCACATTTCGAGCTCGCCGAAGATTCGTCGTTCTGGACTGATCACAATGTGCAGGTTCGGGGACTAATTCTGCTTTGGTAAATGTTGAATAGAATTGATTTTTGTGGATTTGATTGGTTTGATTGGTTTTGAGTTCAGGTGCTGATTCGAATTCGGCCATTGAGTAATATAGAGAGGGCTTCGCAAGGGCACGGTGGGTGTTTGAAGCAGGAAAGCGCCAAGACTTTGGTGTGGCATGGTCATCCTGAAACCAGATTCACATTTGATCATATTGCATGCGAGACAATATCACAGGTTTGGTTTTAATATATGGTTATGAAAAAAGAACATGATTATAAAGTATTATTAGATTACTTAGAAGAATGGAGAGATAGACCTAATTTTTATTTTATTGGGTTGTATGAAACCATATTAAGCTCAATTGAGTGGAAGCCCATTTTGGTGTCTTGCTTGAGTTTGCTGCAGGAAAAGCTGTTCAAAGTTGCTGGGTTGCCCATGGTGGAGAATTGCTTGTCTGGTTATAATAGCTGCATGTTTGCTTATGGTCAGGTACTTTTACTGAGAAGTTAAATAGTTTGGTGTGTGGTGTGGTTTTCATGTTTTTTGGTTAGCAAGTTACAGTCTAAGTTGTTTATTTGCAGACGGGCAGTGGCAAAACGTACACAATGATGGGTGAAATATATGAGGTTGAAGGACAGCTCAATGAAGATTGTGGGATTACTCCACGCATTTTCGAATATTTGTTTAAGAGGATCAGAGTGGTGCGCTGTTCACATTATTGATATCTTTCACGACTACGCCTCTGAATTGAATCAATATAGTCTTCTGGGCTGTTCTTTTCTTTTAATTGGATGTCTTACTATAATTCATATGTGCAGGAAGAGGAGAGCAGGACAGAGGAACAGTTGAAGTACAGCTGCAAATGCTCCTTTCTTGAGATTTACAATGAGCAGATAACAGATCTCTTGGAGCCTTCATCAACTAATCTACAAGTAATTGATACCTTTTTAAATGTTCATGCTGGATGCTCCACTTAAACATTGTTCTTTTGAGCATTAAGTAAATCTTACTTCCCTATTGTAGCTCAGGGAGGACCTGAAGAAAGGGGTATATGTTGAAAACCTTACAGAATATAATGTGAGGGATGTTAATGATGTTGTCAAGCTTCTGTTACAGGTGGTACTTTATGATAAAATTTATCTTACCTACATTTAATTACATATTAGGGCGTGAATATGATTTCTATATATTTATTTTCTTAGGGTGCTTCAAACAGAAAAATGGCGGCAACACACATGAACAGTGAGAGCAGCCGGTCCCACAGTGTTTTCACTTGTATCATTGAAAGCCGTTGGGAAAAAGATTCCATGACCCATTTTAGGTTTGCAAGGTTGAACTTAGTAGATTTAGCTGGTTCGGAAAGGTAACTACCATCTTTATATCCCACATTTTTTCGGTTTTAATTTTTTGTTCAAGGCCTATGCGCTAACTTGCTTATTAATTTAGGCAGAAAAGCTCTGGTGCAGAGGGAGATCGTTTGAAAGAAGCAGCAAATATTAACAAATCATTATCAACTCTTGGGTAATTATTTTGAAACCTGTTTCAAATGCCAATTGTTGATTAGTGTTGTTTCTAGAAATACATATAAGAACTGATCCATTTGCACCTGGTTGCATTAAACTTATATGCCTTTAGTGCCAGTCAGATTTGAGTTTGGTTTTTCAGTTGGTTGACCTGTATTACTCACCTGTATTACACTGTGGTTTTAGGTTGGTGATAATGTCTTTAGTTGATTTAGCACATGGGAAACATAGACATGTTCCTTATAGAGATTCAAGACTTACGTTTCTGCTTCAGGTTAGACACCAAAAGCTCTGGAGCCCAAGAGGTTTCATGAAACTTCATAATAATGTGCATACTTGCGCTTTTAGTGCATGTTAATACAGAACTTACTTGGCCTACAACTTTGGGATGCAGGATTCTCTGGGTGGGAACTCAAAAACAACTATAATTGCCAATGTCAGCCCATCTATTTGGTTTGTGTTGATTCTTTCCTAGTTCTAGATTAATTTATGTTTTTTTCTTCTTTCTTTTCCATTTATTTCCTTAAACTGACCTTTGCTTTCCTTGTAGTTCTGCAAATGAGACACTCAGCACTTTGAAGTTTGCCCAGCGTGCCAAACTTATCCAGAACAATGTACTTATCTGGTACACTGACGCACACACACACACGTGCTCACATTTTCTTCTTAGTGGTTTACTTAATTTTCCATCTTTTTCCAGGCTAAAGTGAATGAAGATGCTTCAGGTGACATAACTGCACTTCAGCAACAAATCCAACAGCTAAAGGCATGGGATATATTTGCATGCTTGTGGAAGTTTTACCTTTGACATTTCCTAGATGGTAGAACTAAAGCATTTTCGAACCCTTACAGGGCCAGTTGTCCTTCCTAATGAAGCACCATAATATCTCATGGTCTTCATCAAGTGGCGTGCCAAGTATTGAAGAACCTAGATTCAATAAGTTGCCTGAGGAATATGATGACTCTCTGGAAGATAAAATGCCAACTGATAATCTTAAGTTACCAAGTATCAGAAACAAGAAGGTATTTTGATTTTCCACAAAAAAATTGTTTCCTCCACCTCAGAAATTGCATGATGCAATTATGGTAACAAGTTCTAATACAAACTTAACAGATGAAATGCATGGATACCATCTTAGTTGGTGCTTTAAGGAGGGAAAAGATGGCAGACAGTGCAGTCCAGAAGTTGGTGGCTGAAATTGAAGACATGAACCGCTTGGTGCGTATTGTTACAACAAGTAGTTATTTAGTTTCCCCTATCTATAAAGTTCTTGATTATTTTATAACTCTTAATTGCATAAAATAGCACCATGTTTAGTGGTTTATTTTTGTTGTGGCATTTCTGTAGGTTTGCCAAAGTGAGGAGGATGCTGGACATGCTAAAATGATGCTAAGGTTTCGTGAGGAAAAAATTAAACGACTTGAATTGTTGACCGATGGAATGCTGTCGGCTGAGAAGTATCTCATGGAGGAGAACAAGGCTTTACTTGAAGAGATTCAGCTGCTGCAAGCAAGATTTGAAAGCAATCCAGAATTGACCAGATATTCTGTGGAGAACTGTAGACTTCTCGAGCAACTTAAATTGTAAACTCCACATGGTTCAATGTTGTAGATGATTGCTCTTTTCCCCCTTTCTGGATGCCATTGCCTCATTTTGTATTCTTCACGCCAGGTACCAAAAGTTTTATGAACATGGAGAGAGAGAAACATTGCTAGCTGAAGTATCAGAACTACGCAATCAGGTCCATAAAAGTCTCCTCCTCCTCCTTCCTAAATTGTCTCATGCACTCTAAGGTGGCTATCTAAAGCATGTTTCATGTGCAGCTTCTGGATATACTTCAAGGAAAGCTTCCATTCTCAACAGAAAATGAAAATCAGGTCGGAAAACACTTTTTGGTTAGTTACGTTATGTGTTAAATGTAAATTTTTTCCTATAAAAATGATACATCTCCCCTTCTAGGGACCTCCAAATCTTAATGTGTGTATTTTCAAGAGTGCAGAATAGTGATACCATAAAGGAATTGGAAGATTGCAGGAACATGAATTCTAAATTGATCAGGTATTTTTTTCTTTAACAATATACACTTACACATGTTTTATTAGTTACTGCAACAAACTGCCCTCAAATTTGTATTAGTTATACTGGGGCTAGCATATGACAGTGCATTTATTAGCTGCTTTATTTTCTTTTAAGTTTACTAGTTTATGTACACTCCTTGAATTTCCACTTTAGCCCCACTCTTTTTCCCTGGATACCAAACAACCTAGGGCCCAGAGGACTATCTCACCGTTATTCCTCCACATGATAAAATATGGATGATGTCAGTAATTGATAGCCATATATGTGGACATTCTATCCATAATTTACCGTCTTGCATAGCCATTGATGTATTGTGTTTGACTAATTACTTCTTTATGCTATTAATACAATTTAAACCTGATCATCATATTGAGTATGTGAAGGCAAATTTCTTGCATTGTTTGGGTTAGGTTGACAACTCCCATGTTGCTTATTTATGATTTCATGTCTGCAGGGAAGTAGATGAACTACAACTAGAATTTCAAAAGTATATGAACTCCAGTCAAGCTGCCTCCGGTTCTGTAAGTGTAACTAATAAACTACCTAGCATTGCTTAAACAATTTTGTAAGCTTTGTCTGTAGTTTATTAACAATCTTTATATACTTGCAGGCAAGAGATTCTTTCTCCAAGGATACTGAGGAATTCAGGCAATCAGATAAGTATTCGATGGTAAGTGAATATATCATGCTGTTTCCTGCCAAATGTCCAATTAATTTACAGAGGTGAACATCAGTTAAAAACTGGAATTCTTTTCAATTGTACATATTTTTGTTCGTCGTTGCTATATCCCAGTTCATTTTCCGTGCTATGTGCCATGAAATCACGGTGTGTTGCACTGTCCAAGGTAATTCATGGAGAAGTTACCACTTCCATTCTTGCATACTTCATTTTACTAAAAAGAAAACAGAAAATATCCATGGAAGAGGGAAAAAATTTGTGCCAGACAGAAACCAACTAGTTTTAAATAGATTCAAGCTTTACATAGACATCACGTACTGTTCTTTTCGTTCTTTTTTAATCAAATCTACAAATGGCCATCACTTTGCAGGTTGAAACCCTATCTATGGGGAGTGACTCTGGAGATGAAACGGCATCTTACTCCCAGGTAGATGATGGGGTTGTACAGAATAATGTGATTCATGTTGACCAAAATGCTGGTGATGATACTAAAAAAACAGTAAATGGATGCTAGATTGTTGCAGGTTCATTTAGTAACTGTTTTACATCACATGCAGGAGGAATGCTGCAGAGGCATGTACATATCAAGCAACAACGACAAAATAGAAATCCAATCGGAGGTGAAACATGAACGTCATTATCTGAAATCAGGTGATTTACATAAGGAAAACAAATGTATTATGGAGATCAGTGAAGACGTTGAGAGGAAGGCTTTGCAAGCTAAATTGGACAAAATGGTTAAGGACCTGGAGGAGGTCAGATTACTCAATAGCCACTTTCAAGAGGATCGGCTATTACAGTTGTCTCACCAGAAACAGACAGAAATAGTCTGTGAACAGGTTGAGATGGAGACAGCAAACACAATTCTTCATTTACAGGAAGAGGTTGCTGCCCTTCAGTTTGAACTTGATGAGAGATTACACTGCATGATTCAGGAAAATAAGGTACTGAAAAACACCATTGCAGCTAAAGAGGACGAGATAAGGTCACTGAGTGTGGAGTGGGAAAAGGCAACCTTTGAACTAACAAGATTCCTCCTAGATGGTTCTAGATCCCTAAAAAATGCCTCCAGCCAAATAGAAAGTATTGCTTGTTCATTTCCTCAAGCTAATGTTTGTATTAGTGAAGATGTCCAGAGGGCTGCCAAAGTTTGCATGGAAAAGGAAGAAACAATTGAACTACTTCAAAAGAGTTTGGAAGATGCGCAAAAGATGGTAACAGAAATGGGACAGAAGTTAAGTTCCTTGAAGGGAGCAGCAATTGTTTTAAGTGAACTCCAACATCTAGATAATGATGAAACCAAAGAGGAAATTTCCTTCTGCATGCGGTTGGATGAACAGACCAACATGGTAGAGATGCTAGAGAGGAAACTTATATTCAAGGAAATTCAGATCAAAGAAGCAGAAAATTGTGCCAATGCTGCATTCCTGGTAATAAAATGGCTTACGGATCAGAAGGCAACAGATAAAACAGAGAGAAACATTCCCATCTCAATACTAGGTACACCAGCCGGAATGGCCAGCGAGAAAAGTTCTGACACAAAAGTAAATGCTTTAGGACAAGAAGATACTGAACTTGAGTTGGCCAGGTTAAGAATATTGGAGTATGAGAATGCTATCGAAGCATTTTATGCAGATACAGAAATGCACATAGTGGCGCTTGAGACCAACATAAGTGAAGTTTCTGATGAATACAAGGAGTTGGTTCAAAACATGGTAAGTGAACTTCGTGAAATGAGGAAGAAATATATGGAGTTAAGAGAGCATTCCAAAGTTTCTCAGTTTTGTACAGTTGAGTCGCTATCATTAGAAGCACACAAGTATCTGAAGTCTAAAGATATTTATCACATGATTCTTGAAATAAAAAATGAGCTCACTGTAGCAAATGGTAGATTGAAAATTACTGAAGATTTCATTTACACAAAAGTAAATGTGCATGATTGCCCTTCAGCAGACAAAAGTTTAGAAGATGAAGATGAATGGAGTACTGATAGTACTACGTCAAGCTGTGATTCTTCAACCGAAAGTTTTGCTTCTGGAAACAAATTGTGGGCACTAGAAGGGCAAACGGGGGACCTGAAAGTTAAAGAAGGCTCAGTACTTCAGTCTGCTGATCAAGATCCAGAAGAGTCAAAGTGGGTCTTAAAAACTTTCACGGACTCTAAAGGAGCAACATTCTGCCTGAAAAAAGAATTAGAGATGGCACTTGATGCTTTCAACAAACTATATGTTAGGCTAGCCACACTCATTAGCGAGTTGGACATTGGAGGTTGTTCTCAACCAGCTGGTATATTCTTTACCGAGTATCTTACACTTTTAACAATCAGAAACATAATTTGATCAGTGGACTTAATCAGCTCATATTGTATGCAGGGCTGAAACAACTTGTTCCATTGTTTGAGTCAGGGACGGAGAGTTCTTATGGTTGTCATGCTACAAAAAAGGTAAAACAAATTTTTTCTCAGATCATCCAATTCTTGCATTGTAAATTTGTGAGGCAACTATATGTTAGAAAGGATTAATAGTAGCACTGTCATAATCAATCTTTTCTAAATAAGAGACTAAGTCAGCTAAATCACCGTTATACTTTGTGTAACACTTTTGTGATGTGCAGGTAGTTTCTGATGAGAAGAGTGATTTTGCTAGTAGCTTCTTAACCAAATTTGAAGAAGCGCATGCAACAATAAAAGAAGCTGATGTTATGTTAAATGCCTTGATGGAAGCAAATGAAAATGCAAAAGAATTGACTGGTCTGTGGAAACAAACTGGTGAGGAACTGATGTTAGAGAAAGCAAGCTTTATTGAAGAAGTTGAACATCTCAAAAATTCAGTACGTTTGAAAGAAAGAGAGAATGAACTACTGCAGGATCAATCTCGTTATAATTTGGTGGAGATAGCAAAATCATTGTCTTTGCTTGAAGAGTGTTTTATGCAATTAAAAAGTGAAGTGGAGGACAGGTTCAAAGTATTATATGCTGACACTTTTTCTATGGGAAGGGAGATACACTGCTTCATTAGCAAATCAAGATCATTACTAGAAGAAATATGCGCTGAGACATTGGAGAAAAAATTTGCCATATTTGTCCTTCATCAGTGTCTCACAGGAGAGCTGATCCACAAAGTACCATGCTTTAACGTTGGAAGTGGTTTCTGCTCCAGCCAACAGCAAGAAGGCCTTTCAATTACAAACAAACAACAAAAAATCTGGTCAAATTGTGAGGATGACATTGCACTTACTAGTAACATCTCCAAAGACGATAATGATCGAAGTGGAGTCACAAATTTGAAAGCTGGTGAGCTCAGTTTGTCCCGTGATAGTTTGATGCATGAGAATTTATCACTGAAGGAAGAACTGCAACGGAAAGATGCTCTACTGGAGGGCTTGCATTTTGATTTTAGAATGTTGCAGGAATCAGCATCCAACACAATGGATATAAAGGATGAAACTGAAAAGCTGATAAAATCTTTGAGCCAAATTCAGAATGAACTAAAAATAAAAACATGCCAGCTTGATGACACGCTGTTTCAACATAAAAAGCTCGAGGATCATCTTACTGATACTGAAAGGGTTCTGCTTTTATCAAATTCTAATCTTGAGCAGGCCAAAGATACAATCAATACTCTTTCAGAGCAAAATTTTGAGTTGAAAGTGCTTCTAAATGATCTCTATCGCAAAAATTCTGAAGCCAATGAACAACTGGAAGAGCAGAAGGAAGTGGTGAAAGGTTTGGAAAAAGAAATTCTTCATTTGACTTCTTCAATGGAAACAAAATTACTCTGTCAAGTTGAAGGTATCGAGGATGAGTTGAGAAGGGTCATCAGCGAGAGAGACGGACTTCTTGAAGAAGTTGCGTCCCTGAACGATAAACTTGAGATGGCATATGCAGTATCTGATGAACATGAGGCTATCTCTATTGAAGCTCGCCAGGTATGCTCTTCAGGTTTTTTTTTTGTTCATTTGATAGCATAGTTATAATTGCAGGTGGATTGCTCTTATTTTGTACTAATATTTCTAGGAATCTGAGGCAAGTAAGATGTATGCCGAACAAAAGGAAGAGGAGGTTAAAATATTAGAACGCTCTGTTGAGGAGCTGGAATGTACCATCAATGTACTGGAAAAGAAGGTTAGCTCCCTGGGCTTTTTGTCTCTGTATTTAACACATGAACATCAATGGAGTGCCAGTATCAATAGTCTCGCTGTTTTACAATCAAATTTCTTACATGCAAACATTTGGCCAAGTATGCCTTTTATTGGTAAGCGAGGGATTAGAGCGGTTATTGATGTCTTTTGGCTATTGGTTTCAATTCCCAAAATCGTTCCTTCTCTTAGGTATATGAGATGAATGACGAGGTAGAAAGGCATCGGTTGATCAGAGATGCACTAGAGCTGGAGCTACAAGCTTTAAGACACAGACTGTTAACAGTTGAAAATTTCGGTGAAAATGCGGACTCAGAAAACATGAATTCTGAACAAGCTGAAAATCTGATTTCTAGGTATCGCTTGCTTTCTCATATAAATTCTATTTTTCTGCTTTTAATTTACCTTAAATTTAAAGAAATAATTTTGATACAGGCAACTGCAGAGTAGGCTACTGGAACTTCATGAGGCTCATAATAAGATAAAGCTTCTTGAAGAGGAAAGAGCAGAACAGGATAAAGAGGTGAGATCCTGTCTTGCTGGTGGTTTTTATTTTTATTTTTTATGTTAGTTGTCTTTTTCGACATTGTACCTTAAATTATCTTGTATTTGTCTTCTAAGAAATAAAGTTTGAAAATTTGTGCATAAATCTTGAAGATCAAACAATACAAAGAATACAACTCTGAACTCGTGTTGCATGCTGAAGCCCAGACGTCACAGTACCAACAGAAGGTACATATACTAGAATTACTATCACCATTCGATAGATCCTTAAACATTTTCTATGCTATTATTAATACTGAAATAGCTGAACTTTTATTGGTGAAAAAAGGGAAAGAAGGGTTCGGAATAATTTTGTTAATCGTGAATGGATATATGCATAATTGTAAATGACCTAAATCTTGACATTGCACGACCTTTTGAACAGTACAAGACTCTTGAGGCCATGGTTTGTGAAGTAAAAGCAGATAAGACAGATTCAGCATCAACAGCTGCGGCATTAGAAAAATCTGAGAGGAGCTCAATGAGGACAAGGGGCTCCTACGGAGAAGGATCAGGAATTGTCTATAGCCGGGCATCGCATTGAAGAACTAGAGGCACTTGCAGCCAGTCGGCAGAAGGAGGTTAAGTGCCCTTTTTGCTTAGTTTCCCTTTCTCGAATGCTTTTGTAGAAACAATTGTTAAACATTAGAAGAGTATTTGATTTTATTGAAACTTGCTCTCAGGTATGTTTGCTGAACACTAGGCTGGCTGCAGCAGAAAGCATGACACATGACGTCATTCGGGATTTACTTGGTGTCAAAATGGACATGACCAACTATGCAGTAAGTTTCAGACCGTCACTTTCAAGCATGACAATTGCACAGCCACAATTCTCATTTGTTTCACTTCTTTTGGTATCATCTAGAACTTGATAGAGCAGTACCAGGTTCAAAAGTTAGTAGAAGAGGCTCATCAGCAAACAGAAGAATTCCAAGAAAAGGTTCGTACCGCAGATTTTCTTTTTATTTGAATATTTGTCTTCCCTTTTTTCTGTTTTCTGTGGACCTAACTTATTGATCTTGGCATCATTTTAGGAGCAAGAAATTCTCAACTTGAGGAAGCAGATAACTGATCTAATAGAGGAAAGACAGAGGTTAGACACTTGCCATCACATCTTTTTATCCAATTTGATTTTGTTTCCTTGTGATTACAATTTATGCAACCTCCAAAAATCAAACTTATAATTGATCCAATTGCCGTACGATTGATCTTTGAACAGCAATAAAAAACAATCAATCAGCAAGCAATATGCTAAAAATTAGTTCTGTAGACGAAATTGTAATTAAAAAAAATGGGAAAGTTGTGGAAAAAGAGAGGATATTGTCCAAATCACAAGTGAGTTTCATTTCATTACGCAAAATGCTCACATTTGGTATATTTTATTTCTATGAACTCATGTCACTATGTTCATCATTTCTTCTTTTAAATTTTGCTACTGTAGTTGCATATCCGAAATAAATAAAAAGGAGGGGGATATAGTGGCTGCCCAGATGACTGTGCAACAACTCCAAGACAGGGATCAGTTGCTCTCTGCACAGAACGAGATGTTGAAGGTGGATAAGACCAATTTAAAGAGGAGAGTGGCGGAACTGGATGAAATGGTAAAAACAATTCTTGGAACACCAACCATACACCAGCCAATTCAACATCCACATACATCCAAGCCCAAGGCATGTTTTCTGTTTGTTTCCACGTCAATTTGGGTTTTTCACCACGCTGGTAACTTTTTAAATTTTTCTATTTTTTTTTAAACTTGTGTTTCTTGATCAAGCAGAATAATAGCTCGTTGAAATTGCATGAAATTGATTTCACCAAGAGGCTGGAACAGTCTGAGAAGCATCTTTCTCGAGTGAATGGTGAACTTGCCCAGTACTTCAAATCTGCAGGTGGCGGTCATCCACGTGACAAACGCTTGTCGCGTTAGAAACAGATTTATATATTATAGGTGAGTGATTTTTTTGTGAATGGATGGTGCATGAAAAGATTGAACTCAGACATTCTTCATTTTGGTAATTCATAATATTGGCCCACGGGAAGCAGAAGATTTAAGTCTGGATGGAGTCAAATGCTTCTGCAAAATTCCTGTTGTCTGGCATTATTTTGATGTCTATAAAGCACATAGCTTGGATGAGTCGTGGGTTCAACTCGTGTGTTTTTGTGTAGGTTGATACCAAAACAGAACAATTTGTTTTTTGGTTGGTCGGGAAACAGAACATTCTTTAAAAATAATATTTGTGAATATAATTATCAGATAAATATTTTAAACAGTTGATTCTATTTTGCAGATAATTACGAAGAAGTGTCAGGCAAGCCCTTTGTCAAATAGTTTTGTTCCTTTACACTCGTGAGTGTATCACTCGTATATGTATATTTTGTTGTGCTATTTTATCACGTGTGAAAAAATATTACGCGGACGGTCAAATAGTTTGATATCTTGACGCGGAAAAAAAACAAAACAAATATGAAGCTAGTGGTCAATTGATAAAAGAAAGCTGAGGTAACTGTAAAATATAGCTCCACTGGTAACTAAACTTTTGTCCAACTGTTGTCAAATTTTGAATATGAGCTGCCCCACCTTTTCATTACCCTATGAACTACGTCAGATAAAATTTGAACTACCGTTTAAGTCGAAGAAAAAAGAGAATCTGAGCCATATACAATTCTGCCTTTTCCCCTTTTCTCCTCCCTTTCTGTTGTGTTCTTGACAAAGTAAAAATCATGGCGGACGTTTACTTACAGGCAAAAATATTATGGGTAGCTTTGCTTCCATAAAATTACTTGACATGGTGGAACTTTCAATTTGGTTGGACGCAGGGCTCTCCCCATCAGCCATCTGGTTGATAACACAATAGGCATGAATGATCGAATAATAAACTATGCAATTGCACATAAAGCAAATGAAAGAACAATGATCGAATATTTTTTATTTTCTTTCCAAACAATCGAGTGTGGAGAACTTATTCCTGAAAACCCGCTTTTGTAGCAAGACTTGTTCCCCCACATTTTGACTTTTGAAGATTTATCTTATACTTACAGCAACATGAAAAATACTCATGGTAGTTTATGTTGAAGAAAAAACAGATGCAAATTTATTCTTTTGATAAATGCAAATAGAATGAAATATTACCTTAAGCTTTTCAAACTTTGAAAGTAGCCTCATATATTGTTCACGCGCTTCAGGCTGACGAGCCATGGACCTTACCCTTGAAAGAGCTTTCTCAACTCCAGCATATTTCTGCTTCCGCCCGACACTAAGAAATTCATAGTCATCGTTTTTCTTGACCTCCGAGGATACATCTTCAATAGCTTTTTCCACCCGAAATCCTCGCAAACCAGCTCCTTTTCGCCTCCAACGCAGTATTACTTTTTCCAATATACCAACAGACCACACAACTTTTTTGTAATTCTTCCGAACCTGATGTCCCCTTACATGAGCCTAAAAGTGATAAGCAGAATCAATACTTCAGATAAGGTACACCCCAAGTCCCAATTAAAAAAAAATGGTCACAGTTTAAAAAAAACAAAAAAAAAGTTATCGATAACATATGCAAGGAGGTACCTGAATTTTAACAATACGGTCACGTATCTTCAAATAATCTTTTCTTCCCTTCCATCCACGATAGTTTTGTTGGATCTTCAGAGCTGCTGCAACATGGAGATAATCTTCGTAGTGAGCAAACTTTTGGACTCTCTTCAAGGAACGACGTGCAATTAGGTCATGAGACTGAACTTCATAAACATCAGTTCCGCTCTTAGTTAACTGTCTCTGACGGAATGAACGAGTCCGGAAAGCTTCTTGAATTAGAGCAGCCGCATGAGCTGATTTCCTAACAGCTGCCATAGAGCTTTTGAGAGAGTATTGCTCATCTACTACCACATCAGTTGCGATAACTTCAGCAGTCTCAATGGCCTTCTCAGCTGCAATCGTTGCAGCAACATTGTTCACTATGTTCTCATTCATGGTCAACGTCTCTAGGTGACTGGTTAAATCTGCTTCGGCCAAATATCCAGCAATCCCTTTATGCCCTCTGCTCGAGGCTAGATCAGCAGCAGTTTGTCCACCAGGAAATGCTGACGTTGGGTCCTTGACTGCACCTGGCGCGGCACCCAATCTAAGTAATGCGATGACAGTTTCCTCTCTAGAAATGGAGAATTTGAAGTTAAACTAATCCCCAAATACAAAAATACAACCGACGATAATACTGAACATAAAAAAGAGAAGGATCTATAAGAGCAGCAACTATACCTTCCAAAATATGATGCCCAGTGAAGCCCTGTTCTTCCGCGAGCATCTCTGAAATTGGGACTAATGCCAGAAGCAATTATTGGACCCATGGCCCACTCATAACCAAGAGCAGCAGTCAAATGTAGAACACCTTGGCCTTCATTATCCAGAACATGTGGTCCTTTGCCTCCTTCATGAACTTTACAGACTAGCCATTCACAAAGTCTATCCTTTAACAAATTCTGAATCAAGACATCTCTATGGGTCAAGTGATCACTATTGCATGCCACAGAAGCCCCATCAATTCTTTCCCAATCACTTTCTCTGTTGTTTCTCATTGAAAATATGGAACTTTTGAGCTTACATTGATCACAATCTAGAGCAGTACATTCCAACCACTTCCTCTCTGAGCCCAAGCTCAAGAGTTTTGCTAGACGTATCTGAAAGCGCAATTCATCATCTTTTGAAGTGTTTCCAATGGGTTTCTCTCGATATTCAAACTCCCTCACCTCACTGCAGGCTAACCTATTTCTGCAGGTCACATAGAATGGAACACACCCAGGAGCATGTAATGGAGTTTGACATCGAATGACATTATTAGACAGAACTTCAGCAGAAACTTCTATTTCACCAAACATGCATCCCCACTTAGTCTCAGTGGTATGCTTCTTGCTTCCCAGAAAACTACCAACTATTAAAACCTGAAAAGGGGAGAGAGGAAAAAACTGAGTATCAACATATATTACAACAATAACAAATGTCCACGTATGTGTATATTTATTATTATAATAATAAGGTATGACAAAATACAAACTCTACTAGCTGTGTATACATACCTTTGTTTCAGTTTCTGAATAAGCCCAATCTGGCGAAAAATCATGAATAGAAAATAGTTGTTCTTGGGAAAGAGAGGGGCCAAGTGATTCTATATCCAGATGCATATGATGTGATAAACTGGATACTTCCTTATCACCATTCTCTGCATCAAGTGGACTCCAGTAATTGCCAGAGTCAGAAGCCATCAAGGAATCATCACAATCCACACCAATTTCTTTATCCATCCATCTCCCAAAGCTGTCAAGTTTCTTAAGCTCTACTGATTCGGCATTGCGCATGCCACCATCTCTAGAGTTCTCTTCAACTTGGTTGGAAGAATTGACAACCACTTGAGGATCAGAATAATCTTGAACCTGAGGGTGAAATACATTAAAGTCATGCTCCTTTGACACCTGCAAGGAGGTCCACGTACCAGTAAGTAGATTCACACCACAGGAAACCTAACTAAAGAACCAAGTAAATAAATTGCATTAGCAAAACAAACTAAAAGAAAAAGAATTTTAAACAATCTGATACTTGGGTTTCAAAAACAACCTAACAGAGAACATGCAGATTAGGATTATAATTTTTCCATGACATATGACAACAAATGCTTATACATCACATCAATTACTACATGAAGAAAGAGGGAAAAGCCTGCATGACTGAACTTGTCATCAACTTCAAATACATCCCAAATTGCACAAAATAGCATTCTAAAATAAGTTACCTGATATGAAAATGATATGTGGAATCATGAAAAGATACTCCACCTACCCCAGAACGTGAATTATCATGGTAGGATTAGATAAACTTTCATAACTTCATTCATTATAAGTTGAAGTTAAATAGAATATCCGAACTGAAATATCAGTATGACTCTGGTCTCCTTTTTTCTTCAAAACATGATAATTTACTGAAGGTTGTAACATCAGCTATCATTTTTTTTTTCAAAAACAAAAACAGGGCATGAACAGAAAGAAAAATTCTGGATTACCAAAAAGAGTATTGAAATGAAAATTCACCATGTTTTTATAACATTTACTAGAAAATAAAATTAAATTAGAAAGAGAAAATTGGAAAGAAAAAATGCATAGAAAAGTGACTGTAGAAACAGACCTGCGCTTCTCTCTGAGAAGATGCTGTGGCAACCTGGACATCTATTTCAGTGGTCAACTTATCTACACAAGTTACATTGTTGACTCTACAATCAACATCTAATCTAGCATCTGTTAGCTTATGAGTTATGAAGTCAGCTCTGTTAGGTGCTTCAACAAAAAGGTTTTGGTCATGCATGCTGCGCTCATTTCTTGTTGAGCTATCCATTCCATTCCAGATAGATGAACCAGCACCATGAGCGAATTTAGGTCCAGCATACCACGAACTAAGGGGATCCCTGAATGACTCAGGAAATCCTGAAAAGCACCAGAGAGACCTGGTCACATATTTTAATTTTTGGAGACATTATTGCAAAAGACATCAATCACTGAAACAAATATGACTTTTGTATGTGTAAAAAGATACCATTACTCAATAAAGTCCATCTATATATTGGGAAAAGGAAAAACAACTAAAATGAGAAGGGAAAAACTGAGAGATGCCAAAACATAAGGAAGCAGAGTATGATCAAATGGATAGTGCAAGTTACTCTTAAAAAGCCAGAGACAGAGTAAAATGTGTTTGGACAACCAAACCAGAATTTGTGAAAATATTTTTACCAAAATTAGAAACTGAATGGAACGGCAGTAGATCCAGAGGTACTGTGTAAAAGAATAAAAAATATTATGCAAAACGGAACCAAAATTAGAAAAAATATATTGGACTTAAAAGAAATGTTCAAAACAGTTTCAACGAATTAAACATAAACGAAATGGCATCTGTGGCTATGCATTTTACCTCCAACTTGTGAACGAAGAGAAGCATTATGCAATACGGAACCAAACATAGTTTGGGCAACAGATGAAGTTCCTGCATCTCCCCCAGAATCCACATCCTCAAACTCTGTAGACAATGTTTTTCCATTCCAGTCAACTCTGTTTGGACTTGAAGCAAAAGATGTTTGACCTGTAGGGGCAGGTGAGTTTGCCTGTGCAGAGAAAGGTGCTGAAACACTTTGAGGGCTTGCAACCTGTGACCCTGGATCTGTCAGCAAACAAGGGA